CGGTCTGTGACCTTGGGACGTTATTTTATTCAACCTCTTCATGCCTTAGTTTCTCCATCTGTAAAAGGAAATAATGATGATAGTTTCCTCTTATGATTGTTATGAGGATTCAATGAAGTAATATGTCTAGAGTATGTATTACATGTAACATGTGAAAAGGACGTAGAATAGTACCAATGCATAATATACACAGTCAGTGTTTCCGGTGATAAGATGATATTTAACCAAAGTTCCAGGAGAGCTGATCTCGGTTATCTCATTCAGGCCTGTAGACCACAGTTCAGTTTAATGAAATGAGTTCTTAGAGGATGGCTCTTCTGTAAAGGAAGCTATTGACCTACTAATTCCTCAGCAGAGTTTATAACTGACAATGGTTGTGATTGGCATTAAGAACTATTAGAACTAGAAAATTTTTTTTAAGTAAAAAAAAAAAAATTTATTAGAAATATATAATAGCATTTCTATCTTGTTTGTCTTGAATTATTTCTGTAGTTCTTCATAATACTCGTCAGCTAGAGGATCTTTTTTTGAAGAAGTAGATCTAAAAGCTGGATTTTATACACAGTGTTTTTAACTTAAATACCATATGCTTTGTGTTCATCCATTGCAGATGGATAGAGATCTCATGGTAGGAAAGCTGGAAAAAGACCTGTATACTCAACAAAAAGTGGAGATACTGACAGCTCTCAGGAAACTTGGAGAAAAGGTACCCACGTTTAATTCAATATAATATAGTATTAGGTAGAAATAAAAAGTGTGAAATATTTGATACAGAACTTCTTTGATACAGTTGATATTTGATACAGTTGATCTGTGATCTACTTTGTGGTCCTGAGACATTCTTAATGGTGGTTCCTAGAATTGCTTGTCTAGATGTGAACCACCCTGCTGGGCTGTTTTGTTTTGTTTAGCTGACTGCGGATGATGAGGCCTTCCTGTCAGCAAATGCAAGTGCTGTACTCAGCCAGTTTGAGAAAGTCTCGACAGACCTTGGTGAGTACTCTCATATTTCTGAAACTTGGACGTGAATTACTGCTGCATTTTGGCAGATGGCATGGGTGAGATGCCAGGATGGCCTTTTCTTGAGTTTAGCGGTAAAACCATACCTGTGTTCTTTTATTGGGTTTATTTCCCAATACTTTTTAATTAAAAACAAGAAACAAACAAAAAAAAATATAGCCTAATGTTTTAAAAAATATTTGTCAGCTAAATATAAATATAAAAAGAAACTAAGTTTTTATGTATTCTATTTCATACCTACAGCTAGGGTAAGTGTTTGTAACCAATAAATGACCCTGTGTAGCTGAGTTGTTTTTGCAAGGGGAAGGACATTGGGATACAGAGGGAAAGTTTAGGGGTAATGCACTCATAGTAGCTCATTTTATTTTATATTTCAATGTCTATGTGATAGGTTTTCTCCTCTTTACCTGAAACTGTAAATGCATTTGAATTGATCTTTTCATTTATTATGTGTCTTTCTCCTTAGGCTCTGGAGACAAAGTTCTCGCTTTGGCAAGTTTTGAGGTTGAAAAAACAAAAAAATGACATGGTATGGAAGCTTGGGACAGTGATCACATTCATGTAAATGGCATTTTCTGCTGGGGATTTTGAGTCATTGCAAAGAAATCGAGAGATCCTTGAAGTGCATTAATAATCTAAGGAAAAAGTGACAGAAAAAAACATACTCATGGCTTCCATTTATGCCCTCCATCATTGTGCTTTTTGTAGGGAGCTATCTGCTTGAGTGATCCTGGACTTGTTAGGATGGGGGAACTCACTGGACCTTATTCGTTATGATTTGTCTGTTTAAGAGAGAGAACAGAAAAGTTTCTCTGACTGTGTTAAGGCTCCCTGTATTTAAGCACTGATAGTATGTGAAAAGATATGAACTAGTGGTTCTTTTCTGCTCACAATTTATCCCCACCTATTGGAGTGAATAGTGTAGCAACGTTAATAAACCTCATATGTGTTTTTAAGAGTTCTAAGCGATCTTAGAAATCATTTTCATTTTATAAACAAGGAAACAGGCTCAGAAAGAGGAAGTGACTTGCTGAAGTCACATCAGAGACGGAGTTGAGGATAAGACTGGGATGTGCAGACTCTCGGTTTAGTGTCCATTGGATTCTATTTTTTTTACTCTGTGCTGTTCTTAAAAAATAATTAACACGTATTTGTGCAAGTCCGTGTTTATAAAAATTCGATGTCCCTACAAAAAGTTGTCGCTAAGGGACCGTTCCCAGTCTGTAAGCTCTCCGTTTGAATGGGGCCCATTGTATGTGAGTTTTGAGCTTGGAACAATGGGCGCCCTGTTGAGAGTCTGCTGAAGTAACTTAACCTCCTGTGTTATTTCACCAGGGAAGCAATTGGAAGTGGCAGCTAGAGGCCCTCCCTGTGTGTGACCTCTTTGCTGAAATCCGGAGAGCAGTGACTACAAATTACTGTTTACTCTTCAGTATTTGGAGAAACTCAAAATAAGTTATGAGGAAAAGCAGGTTTCTCTCCTGAGTGTTTACATCTCTCTGTATGTTCAAATGTATAGATTTCCTGATATGCATAGATGTTAGCTTCTTTCCTAGGCTCTGAGCTACTTTATATTCTTCATGTATTTCTCAGTATTTTTTTTTTTTTTTGCACTTTATACGAATTAAAAACATTTTTAAAGCTTCATGTATACTGTAAACTGAACTAGGTGCTCTGTGCCAACTGGACAAATTAGGGGACCTCAACTACATCAATGCCTTATTTGGAATTTTTAATCGATAATTTTTTATATATTGGTTTATGACAGTCAAAAAGTCATTGAAATTGTGACAAACCAAGAAAAAGCAAATTACCTTCTATTCATCTAGGGGTTTATGGTCAGTCATTATTTCATTATTTTGTGCTTTTTTTTTTTTTAAATCAAAGTGACATTCATATATCATAAAATTCACCATTTTAAAACATACAATTCAGTGGCATTTAGTACATTCACATGTTGTGCAACCAGCATCGCTGTCTAGTTCCAGAATGTTTTTATCAAACCCAGAGGAGACCTCACACCCACTAAGCAGCCAGGCCGGGTACCCGCTTCCTCCTAGCCCTCGAGCCACAGCCAGCGTACTTTCTATAGATTTACCTCTTGTGGATATTTCATGTAAATGGAATCGTACAATATGTGACCTTTTATGTCTAGCTTCTTTCACTTGGCATATTTTTTAGGATAATCCACATTGTATGTATCAGTACTTCATTCCTTTTCATGAGTGAAAATATTTCCATGCATGGATACAATATTGTGTTTTTCCATTCATCTCTTGATGAATATTTGGGGTTTTTTGTCCACTTTTTGGGTATTGTGAATAATGCTGCTATGAACACTTGTATATAAGTATTTAATACCTGTTTTCAGTTCTTTTGGCTATAGACCTAGGAATGGAATTGCTATGTGCGTGTGTGGGTGGGATTTTTTTTTTTTAGGGAATAGTAAGCATTCCCCTTCCTCTCCAGCAGTAGGATGCAGAAAATTCGGAATATTTTGTATTTGAAAGAGACCTAGATGAATCTGGAGTACTTATTTTTGGTTTCCCTTAAACTTTCTATAAGCCTAATGTCAGTGAAATATTTTGTCATTAACCACGTTAATGTATTCATTTTGTAAGTAATGACTAGTACTCAATTTAAAATTAATCTTCCTTTAAAAGTGGTCAGGTTTGTCAAGACACTGCCAGTCATGGCCATGTGACCTTTGGTAGGTTACTTAGTCTTTTTGAGCCTCATTTTCCTCTTCTGTTCAGCAGAGATAATAGGACCCACCTGCCACACAGGATTATTGTATATTCATTCTCCTCTCTTCCTTCATGCAGAAGGAAGTTTTACATTGCAGCGAATTCACCATTTAACAAATTTTTCAAAGGCCGCATATATTTTGTTTCACAAATTAGGTATTTAATTCAGAGAAATAATTTGAAAAGTGAATAATTTGAAAATTCTATATAGCTATAGTTATTAAATGACTATGTTCCCTGTTCATAGTGCGCTGTAGTTAATCTTCTAGGTTTTAGACCTCTTGGGAGGTCTCACACTGCAATAATGCTGAGGCAGCTCACTTTTTTACATCTTTGGGTCAAGCTAATATTTCAATGAAAAGAATTCCTGAATTTTTTAAAGAACTGGGGTTGAAACAGAAGTAAATCCCAATGAGCAAGTGTCCAACTGGGCTGTTTAATGAAATCTTATAATTTAAAACAATTCCTGTGTTTCAATGTTTTGTTTTATCTTGCGAGGGGTAAGATAAGTATTCTAAGTGGGTGGTGGAGGAAGAAACTGAGAAATAAAACGAGTTGTTCCCAGGAAAGAGTTGGAGTTGGGACAGATGGATTGTTAACTTTGATTGTGAGGCCTTTTATTGAAGACACTCAGCCAAAGAATGGTCATCTTAGGCAAAATAAAAGACTGCAAATCCACCTTTGGAATGGTATCTTATTACGGTGAATGCTGGATAGCTTGAAATTATTACAGAAAAAAATAAACCCAGACCATTTTGCCTAGAGCTTTTCAACCACTTTCCTGTCCATTTTTTTTTTCTTATTCTATTCATTATTAAGACCAAAGAATGCTCTTCTTTGCCTCTCAAAATGTTTTCCAGCATTAATATGTAAATTAAAACTCAGCATTCCCACAGCCCCCCTGAACAAGCTGTAATTGCTTCCAGTCTGTCTGACCGTGGAATTAAAGATTTAGAAACTGGGTTAACTAGCATTTACTATTTTTATAAAGTCACAAAAAAGCAGGTTAAATATAAGTCTCTTCTATATAGTCCCTTAGAATATGGCCTTTTGGCCTCCCGACTCACTTCTTTTTGAAATCCCTCTCTGCTCACACTAACAGCAAAGTGGAGAGACTGCAATGCCAGAAGGGCCTCAGACACAAGGGGTCAGCCATGTTCTCAAGAGTCCATGCTGTTGTAAGCAGAGGACCAGGAGAGCTGAGAGGTTTGAGGCTGTTGGTTAGAAGCTTCCTAATGTTCGTCTTCTTCTGAGACGATCACATTCCATACAGACTCAGACTATGGACTATAATTAAAAATAACAAGTAAAAAACTGTTTTCTATAAAGGACATCAAGGAGAGCCACCACTTTTGTTTTGAGTTGGAAAAGAGGAAGATTATGCCGGTCAGAGTTCTCACTAAGATTATGCATCAGCCACAGATCCTCTGCCCCAGTATCTGGCAACTGTGACCATGAATTTTTGAGGCCTTCCCACAAGAACCTCTGATTTTATGTTATAGTCATAATTTCAATACATGGTTTAAGGGCTTAAGTTAATTATGTCTCTTTATACTAAAATGTCTTCGTAGGTCAGGTACTTTTTTCTGTCACTGCTCAATTGTATCACACGGGGCTTTCCTGTGAGAGGAGATTGATGTGTTTTGGGCAGTGGCTCGTATGTAAACCTGATGTCTTTAGGCTTGGTATCTTTCCTCCAATGCTCGTAAAACAGGCCAAGTTGAAAACTGAAGCACTTATCCTCAACAATAATGAAAGAGAGAGGTAATTTAGGCAAAAAGCAAATATTTGGTCTGAATTAGATTATAACTGATTGCGTTAACCCTGATTTGATCATGATCTTAGAAAATGTGGTGCTTTTACTACTTCATCTTTGAAAAATAAATAACTTGGTTAGCATCTCAATTTTATTCTAGGTCTCGGTAAATTATACCTTAGATTTGATTTGTAAAGCTCTGAGCTTATACTCATTCATTTAAATATTTTGTTTCACATCTACTCAGGAAAGGAGCATTCGTACTTTTGGAGCAAACAGGTGAAATCTCAGTCCCTTGCCCTCAGCCTTGCGGCATTTCTTTTCATCCTGTTTCCTAGAAGTATGAGTGGTTCGCTCCCCTGCAGGAAAATACCATGAGCAACACTGCATATAAAGGAGTACATATAGGTGTACTCGAATCCACTTTGTATTTGAGAGAGAAAAAAGTGGGCTCTGTCTTTAACTTGCGAGCTTGGAGGAAAAATGAGGATGTGAGCGTGTGCTCACTCACATGCCTGCCTCTCTCCTAGGAGTGTGACTGGACCAGTGGCATGTCTGCTCCCACAAGGCACTCACGACTCCCACAGTGCTGTTCTTGCCGGAGCGGGAGGTTGATTGTGCCACGTTACTTTTGTTACAATCAAAGCACTGGACGAATTGTGTACGCGGGGCCTTTTGGGTTTGCAAAACTCAGAATGCGCTTTTTTCCTGGTGGGGATGATGTCTTGAAATTGAAGAGAAGAAAACATGTTTTGGAAAAATCTGATGACACTGTGGGTGCAAGGAAAGTTTCTGCTACCTCTTCTGATTGCGTCATTTATTCTCTCAGACATTTACTGAGTGCTGATAAATGCCAGGCACATTTCTTGGCTCTTTTTGTTAAATTTTCTAAAACATTGGATGGAGTCCTTTTTTTTCTTTAATATGACTCTTAAGTGTTCATATAATTAATAGAGGTTTAGATATCCTGCTGCATCACCAAGAAGTTTATTTTACAATGATAAAATTATGTTTTAAATAAACATAACAGAAGAATATGTCTGTTATTCTATCATAGTTTGGTCCTTAGAAATATTACTTCAGATTTGTATCTGTATATTGTAAAGAATATTATACTTGGAAATAATACTGTACAATTTGATCTAAGTGTTCTCTTTCATCTATACGTGTTTTATCTTTTAATTGATCTTGTAAACTGCATATCTCATTAAAACATTTGCATGATTAAGTCCTTTTGGAGAATATTAAATGGAGAGAAAGCTAGAATACTCCTGTAGGGGAGGAAAAACATCTTCCCTCTATCCTTTTACATTCTTGTCTGAGACCCCATAACAAAAGACAGATTGACAAGAGAAAAGCATACAGATTTATTTAATATAAGTTTTACATGACGTGAGAGCCTTCATAAGGAAATGAAGACCCAGAGAAACAATTAAACCTGAGTGTTTTTATGCTAGATTTGATAGAGTGGAAAGTCACGGAGAGATGTAGGACAAGGGCAAGCTAAAGGTGGTAACCTGAGGGGAACTTAGCAAGATCTGTTTGTTCAGATTCCTTTCTATGTCCCTTGTCTTTGGAGATTAGGATGCTCCTTCCTCCAGGTATTAGGAGGGCACTTCTCTCGTGAGGATTTTATGACTTGCTTCTGGGGAGAGTCAGGGAGCCCTCGTGCACCTGCCACTTCTCAGATTCCTTCAGCTTAAAAATTCAGTATGCCCAGGTGCCATATTTTTGGGTGATGTGTCCTGAACCTTGTCATTCCATTTCTAGTTCTAATTCTGCCACTCATACTTAATTTTTACCCCGTTTTGTCAAGTCTCCTTCCAAAATTCATGCTGACATTTTGTGAAGAATGGTTATTGACTGTATAAATTGCTTTGAAACTATAAGGAACTATATAAAATAAAATAATACCACTTTCATTAAAATTATTTAAAATCTTAAAAACATTTTGATAATACGAAATAGAGGCATTTTGTCCGGTTTGACTAAAGGAAGCTTATATTCGTATTCTAGAGAATTAAGATCATAAATAAAGTGGGGAAAAGGCCACAGTTCTGTTACTCCTGTTTTTACCTTTCTTGGAGGTAACATAAGTTACTTTTTCCGTTATATTTTCTTTCAGTGATGTTATAATAACCCAGGACATCCTAATGAAAGAATGTTACTGGGTTTGTGGGAATTCGTGTGTTAATATTATAGTCTGTCTCAGCAGGGTGTCATTAGCAGCAGAAATGGAAGGCAAATTAAAAGTAGGCCCTTTATCTTTTCCAGACACTGTAGCCCCTCCAGCATGCTGCTTCTATGTGTCTCCTACTCTGAAAAGAAATCGTCTGCTCAAAGTTGTTTAAAAAAGTCACAAGTGTCACCTGTATGCCTTCTTGAGGACCTCCTCCTCTTCTCTGTGAGCCCGTCTTCTGTTCTTTCTTTAGAAAGCTTTTTCTACTTATTGGTGAAATAAATGTCCCTTTCTTTTCTGTCTGTCCTTAGCCACCAATTAGTAAGATGAGCAGAGATGCTCCCATGCTGAGCACTGTGCTAGGGGCATGGAAGCAGCTGACACTGCTTCATGATGCAAGCTATACAAGCGCCTTTTTATCTTCCGGGAGAGGTCCTCCACAGGCAGGGCTACCCCCTGGAGCCTGAAGCTATTTCAGTCTAACTGCTCATTAAAGTCCGTCTGAGATATTGCTAAAGCCTTTGGATCCTCTAAGTGAATTGCCTCCACTTAAATTCAGCTAAAAATAGTTCACTTTCACTCCCCAGAGCTACTCCCAAGTTACATGAACTCTCCCCCGCCCCAGCCTCACACCCCACCAAAATATTGATGTCCACAGCAAGACTAGCTTATTAAAGACCCAGGACTATTGCTGTGAATGCACGCCTTACTGTAAGAATGGTAGGGAAGGATGAAGCCCAGTTAAAGTTGAGCCCAAGAATGTGCAATAAGAAATCAGGACTTTGGGCGTAGGGGGAGTGGGGGAACAGATTTTCTCTTCTCTTCAAAAAATAAATTATTTTTTAATGCAAAAGATAATAAATCTAAAAATTGATGAGAGTACATAGCAGTGTGCCAGACCTGTCCAAATAAACTGAGTACCTACTGTGCCTTTCTCTCCTTCCCATAGGGAATCCATTGTAGCCTTGGTAGCTTTGGAGCAATTGGCAGAAGCGTGAGCATTTCTGGGCAAGCTGGAGCCAGCCCTGACAGAGGAAATTAATCTCATTTTTAAATAGAAATAAGTACAAAAAGAGATCAATTTGTTTCTGAAAATTTGTAAAACCATTCATCATTACAGCATGTGCTGTATCCATAGACTTAAAAAATTGGAGTCAAGGACCCTAAACTGTTCCGTAAATGGTCAAAGTACTTTTAAGCTGATAATATTATACCAGTTTTATACCCTATTCGTTAAAGGGTTTGGGAAAATTAAAGCGGTTTAGAAGCTAAAGCAAGGTGGCTTAGCATGTGGCTAGACTCTGCCATTTATTTAATTTCCATCAATGGAAAATATTTTGATCAGAGTTGCTTTGATATACTAGGTTTGTTATTCAATAGATATTGATTCACACCCCCACCTTCACTTGAGGTGGAACATACTTCCTTGTCCCACTGTTTAGGGCCTGGCTGTGAAACTGGATTTGGTCAATGGAGTGTTTATGGATGCGACTCCCGGAGAGGTCTTCACTGTGCTTACGCAGTCGGGCTTTATACTCTTGCACTTCTGCCATTCATTATAAGGGGGTTTTGCTGGTGGAGCCTCTCGTCCAAGGAGAACGAGGATTCACGCGGAGCAGACTTAATCCTTATCCTTAGCTACACCCTGCCGATCCCAGCCCGACCCAGCAGTCATAGTCAAGTCATAGCCCAAAGTAGACCCACACTACGCAATTCGCAGACCCCTGAGCACAAAACAAATGC